TGAGGGGGGGGCAGGTGGAGGCGGCTCATGTGAGGCGGAGCTTTCTGATACGAGTTCAGCGGCTGTGAGAGCGGATTCGGGGGGAGGCGGACTCCTCTGTGAGGGAGATGTGAGGGTGGGAGGAGAGGGGAGAAAGACGGGGGGAGCATGTGGGAGAGGGGAGGAGGGTGGAGGTGCTGGTGGGTGTACTGCTGCGGGTGCATGTGAGGATCAGAAGACAGTCTAGAGTCCGCACTGTGAGGCCATCTCTCCTGCATGGGGTGTGTGCGGGAGTCTCGAGGGGCTGGGTGTGTGTCCCCTCTGGAGGAGTGTGAGTGCACAGCGGGGGGGCCGTGCGAGGCTCGGACCCCCGGCTGCACCCGCCTCCCGGGCTCTGATGCCACATCAGTCTTTGTCCTGTCCGACTGAGAGGACAGTCGGGGGGTGGAGGAGACGCCGGGGGGAGGACGTTTGGAGAAGACGGCTGCAGGTCTGGGAGTCAGGGGTGAGGAAGAGGAGGAGAGAGCAGGAGAGGGAGAGGAGGAGTGTGAAGGAGTAACAGCTGATGAACAGGAGGAAGACTTGGAGATGGGGGATTGAGGAGCTGAAGGCTTTGGAGTGGAAGACGTGCCTCTGCTGTCTGAGGGATGATGGTGAGGGTGGTGATGAAGGTGCTTCGATGATGCTGCTTTGGGTTTGGTGTCCTGATGAGGAGGGTGAGATGAAGGTGAGTTGTTCTTGCAGAGAGGAAGCACTGGAAGGTCTGCTCTCACCCTTCCAGGAGGTGAGTCCTGCCGTTTGAGTTTCCCTCCTTCTTTCCCCCTCTCCTTCTCCAGCCCTTTGTTCATGTTGGAGTCCAGCAGGGGGGCGGGGTGATGAGCCACTTCCTGTTTTCTCACAGCTGGCAGCGCTCTGTTTTCCAACCCATCAGCCGCCTCTTCCTCCTTCTTTATCTTCACCTTCACTCCTTTCTCACTCTTTTTTTTCCTCCTCTCCTCTTTTTCCTCCACTTTTTTCCTCTCCTTCTCCCTCGGCTCAACCTGCTCCTCCTCTACTTTCACTATCACCTCCTCCTCTTCTTCCTCCTCTTCTTCCTCCTCCTCTTCCTCTCCTGCTCCCTGGTGGTATTTCCTTAAGCGTACGTGCCATGCCAGGCTGCAGACGGACGACACGGTCTTGAACTGATGCACCACGTTGCGGGGGATGAAGTAGATGTCGTTGTGGCTCAGGTGGATGCGGGCGTAGTGGATACCCTCCCTGCGCAGCTGGTTCAGTTTGGCATCATCCACCCACTGCACACACTGTGAGAAGAGAGGGCTTTGAGTCAGAGGCAAATGTATTGTTTGTATGTACACACACACACACACACACACACACACACACACACACACACACACACACACACACACACACACACACACACACACACACACACAAATTGGGACAGGACACTGTGTGAGTCAAGTCCACTAGAGTTTGAATGGAGGAAACTAAGCAGCTCCATCTTTAGATCCTGACATGCATCTTAAAATTGATATTTTAAATCATTAAAAATGTAATTACAACTATTTAATCTTTCAGTTTTCCTTCTTGCGAAACCTTTTTTTAGTCCAGTAAACACAATTTATGGGAACAATTTAAAGTGTTTTATTGCAAAAGAAATCTTACTGCAGTTCAGTTTTTCACCACAGTGTGGCAGCATACAACAGATTAAGTAACAATACACCCAACCAAGTATTAGTGACTAAGTGCTTTTGTATCGAAAAACTCACACATATTTGAAGTTACTCTATTGGGGGGGGGGTGTCTGATGGATGAGCAGTGCTTATTACTCTGCTTTTTGGTGTGTGTGTGTGTGTGTGTGTGTGTGTGTGTGTGTGTGTGTGTGTGTGTGTGTGTGTGTGTGTGTGACATTCTAACCTGAGACAGCGGAGGCTCGTAGAGGTCCAGCTGCAGCCTCTGAACTACTTGAGGGAAATCTCCAGCGTGGAAACACACGACGTCTTTGGTTACACGAGGAGGCTCCGAGCTGAGGGAGGGAGGGGGGGAGGGATTACAGGACAGTTGTTGGAGAGGAAGCCGACTGAGCATCTGCCCCCAGCAGTGTGATCACATTTTGCTCCACTTCCTACCTTCCTCCTGCCCGCACGGCCTTCAGCACCCCCACTGCTGCCGTGGTCTGTCGCTCGAAGCCCTGCCCGATGTGATCAGCGTGGGCTCGGGTCCGGTCCTCGAACAGCAACTCTCTGGGCTCGCTGGTCCTCGGCAGAGACTGCAGCAGGTTCTTCACCTCGTTGGTGGAGCTACCAAATGACAGAAAGAAACAGTGGAGTACAAAGTATTAAAAGGATTTTCACTCAGTCCAACTAAGATGTCTCGCTCTTGTCTCTGACGTGTAAAAAAAAAGGAAACACTGACTAAAAGTGAACGGGCAGCTGTCTCGACTAATTGATGTAAACCAGCCGCGAGAGTCTGACACAGGGAGCAGAGAGGATGTTACACAGGAGGAAAGCCTGCATTCATGTGAAGTTAATTAGGCAAACTGGTTGGGGGCATTTTCGGCAGAACATTACCAACCAAAAACAACACTCATAATTTCAACTTGAAAAAAAAGCATAAAAAAGAATAATCCAGTACAGAAATCTTAGACAAAAAAAACAATGTATTAGTGTCGGCAGCCCAACAGAAAATATACCACACATATTTCATAATCTGTCTATAAAGAAATACATTTGGTTCGGTAAATAAAAACGTAGTTTTTAAGCACAAATTAAGTACATTTACGTAATCCAAAAAAAATAATGTATCCATACTTTTCTTCATGCAGACGGGCTGAGAAGCTGAGGAGTTAAAACGCTCAAAAATTAGAAGTGATGCCAAACAATAGAAGCACTGCAGTCAGCTCGCTGCTGGATCAGTGACTCACACTGAAGCTGCAGTCACATTCAAACAAGAAACACTGACACAGAGTGTGTGAGAGATTCCTTCGAGAGTGTAACACAGGCAGAACCACGGAGAGACTACCTCTGCTCAACACTTCATTGTGCATTCATTCAGAGACAAGAGAGGAGAGTTGGTGAAAGGGGAAGAAGAAAAGGTGAAAACACACACACCAACCCACACACAGCTCCGTGTGTGTGACGGCCCTTCCGCAAAGCGGCGTGCGTTGACGCTTCACCATTCACTTTGAATGGGGTGACGTCACTTTTCGCCGAACTGCATCGTGGGAAGCAACGCAGAGCGTTGCTTCGCTGCAAAAGTTGAGCAATGTTCAACTTTTGACGCCTCGGCTGAAGCGTCAGCCAATCGAATCATATGCCAGTACAAGCTCTAGCCAATCAAACCGCTGCTTGTGTGTCAGGGGCGGGAGATTCATGTGATTGGTTGTTGGTCGAGCGCCCGCCAGCAGGCGTCAACGCACGCCGCTGTGTGGACGGGCCGTGAGCCGGCTGCAGGCTGACAGTAATGAATGTAAAAGCAGGAAAGCTGGTCAGAGAAACACTCAAAATGAGACTGCTGAACGTGCACATCTAGTGATATTAGAAGTCTACCATCTCCTGCTCTTCCTGTTGTCCTGGCACAATGAGGCCATAAAGCTATGTGTGTCTGCACCAAGTCATCAGGACACATCCCTATGTTAGTGGGCAAATAAAGAGGGAGGTAAACGAAAAGACAGGAGTGGAGAGAGAGAGGAGATGATGGAGGGGAACAGGGGATAAAGAAGGAGAGAGCAGAGGATTAGGCAGTTCAAAAAGTGTAGGAGGGGGGAACCACGCTCTGACGATAGACACTGAGAGAACCTCTTAAAGCTGCAGCACGTCACCTTTACACTGAGCTGAAGCTACTAATGAGTATTTGCATCATTGATTTATCTGCCAAGTGCTTTCTCTGTTAATCAATATGTGTTTAGTCAGAAACAATCAATTCGCAATGATGTAAAAAAGGTCTGATGGAGCAGCTGTAGCCAGAACATGTTTAGAGCGTTTGCTTATAAAAACAAAAAAGATTATTAATGGATTTCTTAACAAATAATAGATGCTCTGATACTTGGCTAACAGATTCATAAACTAATCATATGCTTGAAACTGAGCATTGGGTGTTTAACATGCAGCTGACAGCAACCGGCCCCCCATGGACCCCCATGGCTGTCTGTCATAGGTCATGCTGCGTGTTTCTGAGCGGGAACAGCATGCTCTGCTTCCTGTCTGCAACTGGGGCCTGCCGAGTGGCTGCTGCTGTTGCTATGCAATTATTAGAAATCTAGGGGAAGCAAGGCGCTCATCACTAAATGCTGAAATATTTGGGTTTATTTTAGTCACGGACCGCTGAGATGTAAGAAGAAGACTCAGTGCTGTCAGAAAAGCACACGCCTGGACGCTTTTCACTAGAACATGAGAAATGCTGAGATAGGAGTTCCTCTTGACACAAGTAGCCTTCTTTCAAAAACACAGTCAGCTGCAGATAAACCCTTCTCTTCATTTGCACTTGTCTTTATACTCTGACATATTGGATACACAATACATAAGCAACGACACTGTGCTAGAGTGCCCTGAAATAACAGCTTCAAAATAAATTAACTGAACAGCCTAGGCAAGACGAGTCAGGAGAGGAAATAAGATTGCAGAGAAATGGAGAAAGAAGACTGATATAAACAGACACGTGGATGGGAGGTGGAGGGAAGGAAAGGAGAGGAGGCTTCGATGAAGGATGAGAGATCCATGGAG